CTGTTGTTTGATTTTTCCCTGCAGGCTGAGGAACCAGTGCCCTGTATAGTCACCAGCCCAGAAACTAAAAAAAGATTCACGCCACGCACGCAGGCTCATCTGCCCCCCTGCTCCCCTCGTGTGGAGACGCCCCGGCAGGCTGGAGGGTGAGCTGGGGGCTTATCTGGTTTCAGCCAGTCTGTTACTGTATCTCAGTCCCTGTCCCCGCGCCCAGAGGCTGTTGCAATGGGTGTAAATTTAGAAAGGGAGAGAGAAATCACATGGAAAGGTTCATTTTGACAAACTAGGCTGTTGCTTGCTTTATTTTCCGTTTCTTGTTCTTAAAGGGCGGGGGGTGGGGGGGCGGGCAGGGGGCCTGGTCACTTACTTAGCCCTTTACCGTAGTGGCATGGGCTATTATAGGCAGCAGGACCATGAATAACACTCTGCCTTGGCCCAAGATTAGCCAGCTTCTTCCAGAACTTGCAGGATGGTCAAGCGTCTCATGCCCAGAGCTTCTGAGAAGCTGGGACAGACATCAGGGCGGGGTGAGCGACAGGTGGACCCAAGCAGCACCTGTGAGGTCCTCTGAGCCAGGCCTGCTCCCCAGCAAGCCAGTGGTGGCAGCTGACCTGCCCCAGGCTGCCAGTGGACAGAGTGACGCGCTGACACTTTAGACGGGACGGTTTTGTAAGGAAGCGATTGCCACACGCTGGAGAGATGGCTGTGGCAGAGAAGCCTCAGAAAACCACTCCCGGCCAGAGTCGACGGCCCCTCACTGCCACCCTGCAGGTCAGGGTAGCTCTGCCCCGTGGGTTTCTGAGCCTGTAATTCTTCACGGGAATAGAAAGCCCCATCTTTCTCAGGAGGAGCGGCTGGTGGTTCCCAACTGCTGACCTTGCCTTTAGTGGCCCAAAGCTTAACCACCATGCCACCAGGGCTCCTGCGTAAGAAATGCCGGCTTTCCCTAACAAGCCAGAGGAGGCAGCTCACACTAAGTGACTGGCAAGAAGTCCTGGGACCACCATGCCACAGGCAGGGGAGCCGGACCCCGGCTCACAGCTCTTCCGAGGTGCTATACCCCAACCACCACCACCAACCGCTGCAGGCCAGCCTGCCCTACCTCCGACAGCATCTCGTATTGGCCTCTTCTTCCCAGGGCGATGGTCAGCAAGTCGTAGACCACAGATGCGCTCTGCAGGCTGATGAGGCGGTCACTCCTGTGCTCGGGAATCCTGCTCAGGACTGCGTCCCGGTTGGCCTGGAACGGATGGCATGGAAGAGAGAGGCAAGTGGTGAGCTGGCCCATGTTGTGGTAAGAAGGCATGGTGTCCTGTACCTCTCATGGTTCACCGGGGCTCTGCAGGCCAGGACGGGGCACTGGTCATTTATCCCAGACTCTCAGAGCAGGACTGCCCCCAGGGAGTCACAAGTTCCTGTCCAGAGTATTGGGAGCCAACGCAGAATGGGGAGGACTCCCTAGGGCTTGGGTGCACAGACAACGTCGCTGCAGGCAGCCGTGCTCGGGGGCCAAGCAGACCCACATGGCACGGGGAGGGGGCACTGCTTCTGTTCTGAGATAAGGCGGGGAGACCACCTCTAGTCCCACAGTTCCCATCATCAACAAATAGTGTCATCAAGCACCATTCGCCTGACGGAGAGGTTCACTGCGCCCCCTCTCTCACCAGGGCAAACCCCAAATCCCTCTGTGGCCTCTTTGGTGCAGGACCAGAGGTGACTGCAAGCTTGCTGGGGAAGCACAGGGCAGAGGGGGCTGGGGAGAATGCCTTGCTGGGCTCACATCCCCGCTGCTCAGTACGCAGAGCAGCCGCACGCCTGAGCTTATTACTCCCATCCACCCGGGATCAGAGAGGAGTCCTGGGGCCGCCACGGTGGGTAATGCACTAGGTGGCCAAGCAGAAAGGTAGGTGCTTCGAACCCACCAGCTGCCCCTCGGGAGGGTCAGCCGTGAGGTCAGGGTTTGGGTCAGATGTTCTTTGCTGCAAGCTGTTATTTCTCTACAGACCTATGGACACACGTCGCCTGGACTACAGGTATAAGAGCCAGCTCATGTCACCTTGTCCAGAGCCGGAGTTCAGAACAGGCAGTGAGATTTCACCTGCCTAGGTCAGAGTGGACATTTCAACCAGGGTGCCAGTTTCTCCCTGGTGGGACAGTGGGTGAGACACTGGGCAGCTTACCGCAAGGTCAGCAGTTCGAAACCACCGGCTACTCCCCGCGAGAAAGATGAACCGCTCAACTCTCCTAAATAATCACAGCCTTGGAAACCCACAGGAGTAGTTCTGCCTTGTTCCATGGGGTCACTTTGAGTCAGCAGTGGCTTGATGGTAGTGAGCTTTGGTTTATATAGGATCGGAGAGGAAGACTAGGGATTTCTAGTCCCCTAAAGATTTATACTCTTAGGAACCCAAAGGGGCAGTTCTACTCTGTCCTACGGGGTCATACGTTGGAATTGCTGCAATGCCAGGTTTTGGGGGGGCTTGTTTGTTTCTCCCGGCTAATCTCCCTGCTAGTGGCACAGTGGGCTACACTCTGGGTTGTTAACCACAAGGTCAGGAGTTCAAAACCACCAGCGGCTCCTCAGGAGAAAGATGAGGCTTTCCAATCCCGATAGCCTCAGAAGCCCACAGGGGCAGTACTACCCTGTCCTACAGGGTCACTGTGAGTCAGCATCGACCCAATGGCAGGGAGTTGGTTTCGCTTTGAATCAGCACAAGTCCCCGGAGCCTCCGCCCCCACCCTGACCCCCGCCCCCACCCCCGGCGTGTACAGGAGGGGTCCTTGTCTTCACTGTGACCATGGTGGGTGAGGAGCCAGTCCCTGGTCCTGGCAGGCTAGCGGTCCTCTTCCCAAAGGCTCCACGGCACCTTCCTTCTCCCTAGCAGGTTTAGCCCTGAATGTCCTGCAAGGCATTGCCCTTCAGCCAAGTCAGTACTCACTTCCCAATGCCTTGCTCTGAGATGCTAATGACAAATCAGCATCTGTAAGACAGGCCACTTCCTACCCAGTGCGTCTTCAGTCATCCTGGTGAAGCAAGCCTGCCTTTGAAGGTTTCCTTCTAGGCTTCTCTGGGGAGCAGTGACTTTTGTGCTCAACAAAAGCAGCTCCCAGGGAACTGGGGACAGGAGAGTGGGCTCGCCTAATGCTGCAGCTGTAAATGGTTCAGACTAAGAGCGATGTCTAGAAAACCAAACACCAAGCCAAACTCCACAGCCATCGGGTCAATTCCAAGCAACCCTATAGGTCAGGGTGGGACTGCCCCTGTGGGCTTCGGGACTCTAACTCTTTATGGGAGCTGACAGCCTCAACCTTCTCCCTGGGAGCGGTTGGTGGTTTCAAACTGCTCACCTTGGGGCTAGCAGCCCAAGGCGTAACCCACTCCAGCACCAGGGCAAGATGGAGCAATTATACTTTTACCAAGTTTACAAGTGATAGCAGGTGCATTTTTCTCTTCAATTTTAGAGAGAGCCTATCGGTGTCTTTTAATGAAAAAGGTACAATGTCGAACATGAGACAGATCCACAGATGAAAAATAGCTCAGAATATTGTCTTGCGAATATAGTTCTGATAACCCCTTTCTCCTGGCAAAACGGGTTTGACGGGCAGGGAGGAAGCAGGACTGTGGTCAAGGGCTGCTGGTGGGTGTCAAGACTGTGGGCACATCCGTGTTTCCAAGTTAAAGTCGGAATCGGTGCAGAAGATCATCTTTCCAGGCAGTGAATAAATACATAGATGGCCCTGCTCAGTTTGGTTCTAAAACTATCCATTTTCTGCTAAAAACCGGAAAACCAAAAAGTCAAGGGACATGAGAAAAGGGGCTTCCAAAGACCACCTTACTGCAGACGTTCACCTGCACAATGGTGGGATGATTTGCAGGCAGCACATAATCGTTCTGGTTAGAAACCCAGCTTTCCATATGTACCAATAAGAGGAGCCCTGGTAGCACAGTGTGAGTTACGCATGCCTCTGCCTGCTCACTGCAAGGTCAACGGTTTGAAACCACCAGCTGCTCCGAGGGAGAAAGATGAGGCTTTCTACTCCCATAAAGAGTTACAGTCCCAGAAACCCACAGGGGCAGTTCTGCCCTGCCCTTTGGGGTGGCTGAGTCAGCATGGACTGGATGGCCATGGATTTCACCCTCCTCTGAGGAGGAGATGTCCCTGGAGCTAAAGAGAGCTTCCTGTCTCCAGAGGATCTCAACCTGGAGTAGGAATAGTTCTATCACTTCAGTTAAAGGGCAGGTGTGTTAGAGGCAAGGTGTCTGAGTCACCTGCCTCAAAACGAGACGGCACTTTAGACATACGGCCATGTTTCTCAAACTGCAAAACACAACACATGGGCTGACAATGGAAACACAGCTGTTTCCCATCAGAACTGCCCAAGACATCGACAATGCCTCATCAGCATGCTTTCAGGGGGGTCACCTGGGACCATCAAGAGAGCGTGACCACATTTACCCAGGGGCACTCAGTGCCAGGTTGTGAAGAGCCCAACTTAGGGTGAGGGAAGGCCAGACAGGAAAACCACACGAGCCGGCCCAACCGACATGTTGGCCACGAAGCGTGGTGACTTGTTCACTGACGGACCAGAACTGATGCCACAGAGTGCCTTGCTTGGCGGTGCCACGGCTGAGGGGAGCATGCCATTGTAACTCAGCATCTTCCCGAGTACCAACTGACTCTCAGGGGAGAGGAGCCACGGTTTCCTTCAGAGGCAGTAAGGCAGGCGGGGTGTGGTGGGATGCATGGATTCCATTTATGTGAACCCCCCACCCCCTGCTGTGATCTTGTAAACGCCCCCTATTGAAATGACTGGGTGAGGCTATGCAAATGAGGTGTTTGTGATTGGACAGTTTGTTAATCATGCCAATAAGGTGCCAGGTAACTGTGCTGGGGATGGCACCCTGTAACTAAGGGGCCTGGAACCTTCACGAGGGGATTGGTCAGACTTGCTTCCCATCAGGTTTAAAACGAGTCAGAAAGAAGGGTGGGAGGGTCTTACTATGACCAAGAAAAAAAAAGGCAAACGTGAAGAGCATCCGGTGGAGCCCTTTGCTAAGAACCTGCTAGACTAAGGAAGTAGAAAAAGAAAGGTCGCGCCAGGGAAGACATAAACCAGGGAGAAAGAAAGCAGTGGAGAAACGGCGGCGGCAGCAGAACCAGGAGACGTAGGAGAGGCGTTTGCCAGCTCCTGCTGTAAAACCAGAGGCTCCTACATAGGATGCGTCCCCAGCGTCTCTTCCACCAGAGCAAACTGAGAAGGTGGGTAAAGGTTACGCTGCGGGCTTCTTCCCCCCTTAAGATCCCTGGTTGTGGCTTGACTACACTCACTGGGTCAGTGGCCAGTAAATAGTGGGCGGGGGAATGAACGGACTGTGACACCTGGTTTTTCGCTAATGGAGATGTTCCATGCTCCAGACTGACCAGGGGGCACTGCTGGACGGTGCAAGGAGCAGAAAACATCTTTCTTTTTGAACCTCTACTGGTTCCCCCCCACAGGGATTCCCTCTAGAAAGTCTTCCCCCAAGAACAGAGAAACCGCGTGGATGGGGCTGCCTTATTGAAAAGGGACCACGGGGGCAAGGGGAAGAAAAAGGTAAAAACACTGTCCACTCACCATTGATTCACTAATCAGCAATAACAACAGGGCTTCCTCCGTATTTTCTTGAGGACAAAAAATGCTGTATGTGTAACAAAACAACAACAAAAAGTCAGCTTTGGTTTAAGACAATTCCAAAATAACACAAAGTACACAACTTTGCACAGAGCTGTATTAATGCTAAAAGCGTCTGGTTTTTTTTAAATGCAACCCATGAAAAAATACGGACGTTTGGATTCCTTGTGCTCATTTTTATGCTTGTCTCTGCAATAGAGACTTTCTAGCTAGGCACTTTAATGGCAGGCAGAAGAGCACAGAAACCCGTAAAGAGCAAGTTAAAAGCCCAAGGAATGCCTGTGTCTCAGTGAGAGGTGGGAATTTAGGTCACTAGGAAGTGCTATCTAAATAATACGAGTTTCCTCCTGAGCCCATGGTGGAGACATGAATTGAAGACATGAAACAGCCCTCCTCTTCTCACTAACCGGCAGATCTATTGCCATTTAGAAGAAGTCACTGATTGTAGTGCTAGAGTTGGAAAAACTTGTCTAATACAAACAGGATTTTCAGCGAGGTTTATCTCACTTGAGACATGTGTTCGAGCGTGAGTGGTATGCGCGAACTGTCATGGTTTTTGTTGTTGTTTTTTTTTAAATTTGGCTAAACTCTAAACTCTCACGCGAGAAGTGAAAGCTTTTAAACTCAAGGTTGCCCAGGATGACAGAGCACAACTAAACCACAAGAAAACTAAACCATCCAAGTAGTAAGCCCTTCTCCCTTCTCCTCAGGAGCCCTGGTGGCATGGTGTTTACGCCGTGGGCTGCCAACTGCACAGTCAGCAGTTCAAAACCAGCTGCGCCAAGGGAGAAAGATGGGGCTTTCTACTCCCGTGAAGAGGTGCGGCCTCAGAAACTCGCAGGGGCAGTTCTGCCCTGCCGTCGAGGGTCACGATGCGTCGGCATCGACTCCATGACCTGAGTTTGGCTTTTCCGTCTTCCCTTCTCTAGCTCCTAGTTTTCCAGGCTTTCAGCACTGACCGTTTGTACCAGAAAATCAAACGTTCTGAAAACGACTGGGAAAGATGACACCCCGTCTGCCTAGGGGGAACCTTACAATTAGTTAAGTCAAAGGATGGGATGGTTTTCCAAAAACAAGGCCCCCCAAAAAATGTTTTCAAATCACTAGAAATACTTGTCCTCTGGGAAGAGCTGGCCGTTTCTGCCGTCCCATCGAAGGAAGACGAAGAAAGGGCACCAGGAAAAGGTACCAGGCCTACTCCTTGCAGGACGCCTCGGCCTGGCCAGAGGCAAGGAGCCAGCAGGCGGGCAGGCAGCACCTGTTCCTCTTCCGGGACGCAGTCTAGCACACGGCTGGGCTGAGGACGAGGTGCAAGGCTCGGGTTGGCAGTGACGTCTCGAAGGAGTCAGCGTGCGCTGAGGCTGGTCCCTCAGAAGACGCAGCTGAAGACGCCCCGTGACGTGCTCTCTGCGTAAAGAGAACAGTGCGCTCTCTGCCTGCTGCCGTGCGCACACACCTTTACATATATCCAACCACCAGTGCTCCAGAGCCTGGCTGTCTGCTCACACGCAGTCGGCGAGCTTGTAACCAGAGCAGTAGCACGAAGCATTTCTGCCTAGCTAGCCAGCTCTGGCCTGGCCAGACTAATTGAAAAGGGAGGGACCCACCGGCCTGCCTAAATCCTCGGTTGTGTTGTGTTTACCCGAGTTGCTAACCAAGCCGCACATTATCTGAGCCTAATGCCACTTCCTCTGCCCACCCCACCCCATCCCCTTTGCCGGCAGGGGTGGTGGGAATTCAGAAGTGCCACAAATATCCCAGGGCCGGCAGGAAGAGGAAGTGGAGGAAGGGGAGAGAGAGGTGCCTGAAGACCCCCACACGGAAATGCTCCCTCTGGAGAAGTGTAGGTTCTCCAGACCCACTTCTCGTCCCTCTTCCCTGCTCGGCAGAGGGCCACGTCGTCGGGGGCCTCCTCTAGGAACATTCTCCTCTGGGGACCAGGAGCCTCGGTGGAGGAGACCCGAGGACGGTGGGTCTGAGCCTTGGGGAGTGGGAAATGGGGGCCCTGGGAGATGACAGAGGATGTGACGCTGTTTCATTCTGGCATGCACACAGGGTGGCCATGAGTCAGCTGACTGGAGGGAGACAGATGACAGCCACAGGACCAGAGACTGCTACTTAAGGGCAAGAGAGGGAAGTAACGGGAACAGAGATCAGGGGACGGGAGGATGAGCCTCCAGGCAAGCGACGCAGTGACAGTGCACTAAGCTAAGAAGGGGTGAGCTGTGTGGTAAGCCTCACTGGTGGCCTTTAGGCGAGTGGCCCCGTTTCTTACTCTGGTGGAATTCACCAACTCCAACGTGACCTGATTCTACAGAAGACCCAGAGAGTAAGGATGGAACCCTCAGTTATAAAGCATAATCCCAGACAGCAGCTCTCTCCAAATGTTTCCCCAGCCAGGAAAAACGCGTTAGGAATATCTGCGTGCGATAGAAACAGTCGCGCACAAGAAATGAACCCAACTCGATCTAAGTGCATTTCCTCTCCGCTTTCTTCTCTGGCTACTACTCCGTGCGGAGTGGGATTCGATAAGCCAGAGACACAGCCCAGCATTCAAAGCAGGCTCAACAGAGGGGCAAGAAGAGCCTCTTTGACCACAGAAAGGTCCCTCTGGATTTAACTGCAACACCAACTTCAAGGCCCAACAATGGTGCCATCACCATTTTAATATGCCTGGCTGTGACACTCCTGGGGGAATCCCGGAGAAACACAGTCTCTGAGCCACAGCCAATCACAGGCGAGCGGAAGCATGAACAGCCGGAATGACACCGCCCGGGGCCACATCACGTTGTCTGTTGACCACATGGAAGCAGAAACTTCTGACAGTCCCAGGTGACAAAAGGATGAGGGTACCAAAAAAAGGAAGAGGGCTTAAATGGAAACTTGAGGGTGTCTCTTGATTATAAAGGAGTTTTGGTGGCACTGTCAGGTAAGAATTGGACTGCCAACTGCAAGGTTGATGGTTCAAACCCACCATCTTGCTCCATGGGGGAAAGATGAGGCTGCCTGCTCCTCATAAAGATTTACAACCTTCGTAAACATATAGAGGGTGGCTATGAGTTAGAATTGACTGGATGGAAGTGGTTTTCTTCATTCTTAGGGATCAGCTGGCCCAATATGTGGGCTGATTAGGACGTTCCACAACTCTTCTCTCTTTGGTCAATCCATTTAGGTCAAAACAACAACAACAAAACCAACCTCTTAATATAAAGACTTTACATTTGATACCCAAACCAGACAATGACGTCACACGAACACTATAATCCAATATCTCAGATGAATAAAAACGTAAACCAAATCCAGCAATAAATATAACAGATTATACATCATGACCAAGTGGGGTTTATTTTGGGAACTCAAGTGAATAGATCACATAAGTGAATAGATCACATAGCAAATCAGGGAAACAGATCACATAAGTAGAAGAAAGTACAGAAAGTATACGATCATCATAATGGATTCTGAAAAAAGTTAACAAAATTCAGAATACTTTTTATGATAAAAAAAGTTCAATAAATTAGGGGACTTTCTTCCTGGGTAAAAGGCATCTGTGTGACACACCTCAGCTCACACACTCTGAGTCATGAAAAGAGTGTCACCATACCCTACGATCAGGAACATGGCAGAATGCCTGCTCCCATCACTTGCATTCGACAATGTACTGCAGGTCCCAGCCAGTGCCATCAGGCCAGCAAACCCCAAACAGCCATCCACGCGAGAAGGGAAAAAGTAAAGCCGTTTCTGTTCGCAAGGGCCTGATCTTTTAAACAGAAAACCTGACGGAATTCACTAAAAAAAAAAAAAGATTAGAACCAGGAAAGCATTTGGCAAGGTTGCAGGATACAGTATCAACACCCCTAAATTCCACTGTATCTCTGCAGGACAGCAGTGAGCACTCAAAGCAGAGAATAAGAGGTTCTCATTTATAATATCATCAGATGAACAAAACACTTAGGAATAAATTTGAGAAATGAAGTGCAAGTATTAAGTCCTGCAAGTGACAAATCACT